TTTCCCTATCTGACTCTTATCCTTCCTTCCCAATCATGAATAAGGATGGCTTCTCCAGCAAGGAGCACTGTTCTGGTTTAACACATTTTTATGAACGTGATTCTTCTGGGTTAAGTCACTGTGTTGAGTTGAATGTTGGAGTGTACAAGGGTGCGTCTTCCCTTGGGTCTTTTTTTCCATGTGACAGGATTGGTAAAAATTCTGGGGAGTTCTTCAAGCAGGCTTGAAAGTTTCCCCCCCACCCCCAGCTTTAGAATCTCTCATGTCTTCTCCTATTTGACAGTTTACCCAGTGCTATTTTCCAGGTTTAAGAAATTGTTGGATGAGTAACTGCACCTATTAGATAAAGTCCTGGCCTAGGGCAGCTTAGCTTAACCGTATTGCAGCATACATTTTTTTTTTTTTTTTTTTACTTTTACTTCTGTGAAAATAACTGGTGAACTATATAGAAAAGTCCTAAAACCATTTGTGCCAGTGTGTTTAAAATAGAGCTTTCCTGTCTTGATTTTGGAGGAGGCCCAAAGACCCGAGGAGCCAACCACTGCCATGTGCAGAAGAGGTGGTCAAGAACCAGTTTTGGGACCCTTGCCTTAATGCCAATAAGAAATGTTTTAAAATTGGAGAAGGGGAAGTTGCAGACTAGGAAATCTGTTTAGAAAGAGCTGTCCTACATATCCAACCTCTTTACACAAGTCCTGCAAATGTTGAGACAATGGAACCACAGGTTCAATGGTCCTTAGACTAACCAGAACCAAGAAATCTAAGGAGAATTTTTGACCAGCTCCGCCAAATGCTGTGAGATGAGTAGTTGCCTCTTTGGATATGGCCTGACCTTCTGGATATGTGAAGTCAAAAGATGCACGTATGTTTTCCTTATGGGACCAAGAGAGAGGACATGAAAGATTAAGAACCAGAGCTGGTATGGAATTTGCTTAGATATTCCTAAAATATTAGCTGAGAAAAACTTCAGCAGATAGAAGATGCAAATGTAACTTCATATGTCAATGAGAAGAAAACCACCTATCAGAAAAAACTGCAGAGATGGGAGCACAGCTTGAGAGGGCGCATATGTACAAAAGATCCCCCACCACTACCCTGAAATCAAAGAGTCAGTTTAAAATCCTAGAAGGCAGAAAACACCAGTTCTGGATTACCACAACAGGACTAGTTAAGAAAGTCCTTTCATGCTTTTTACCTCTTCTTGGTATTTCTACTTCAACCATAGAATTGCCAGAGGCAGTTTAATATCTAAAGCGGTGAAAGAAAGAGCTAGGACATTACGAAAACATCACCCTAACCCCATTTCACACTATAGACAAGTTTGAAGCAGGCCAAGGTGAGTTAGAAAAAACTTTTAATTCAAATCAAACACAAATCATGATCATTACTTTGGACTGGACATAATAATTATTGAATTGGACTTCTAATTTTTAAGTAAAGTGAACTAGTGATTTAAAAAAATAATAATAGCATGAACAAAAAAGATATAGCATTTGCCCAAAATTTTCTTCAAAGGCCGAGGACGAAGTACCCTCACAGTGCTTACCTGGAATGTATAGTGATTTCTGAGGTGAGGTGTGAGTTTGTCAGAAAATAAAGGATTTTGCCAGTCTCATCCCACTCATTCCACTCTTTCAATGTATTGATTAAAAAAAAATCATCCAAAATTAAAATAGACAAAAAATATAAACCCCCACATCATTATCACTCCTCTTCATACTTGTTTTTAATCACCATGTTTTATATATATATATATATATATATATGTGTGTGTGTGTGTGTGTGTGTGTGTGTGTGTGTGTATAGTCGTCATTGGAAAAGAGCATTCCACAGGACACTTTTTTCTTTTTCTTCATTGACTATGTTCCACTTAACTATATTTAATCAATTCTAAAATGTAAAACTGTCTTCCCATTTTAATATCTTTGACATCTAGATGTCTTTCATAAAACAGCTTCTTGCAATTGTATCTGCAGCATTTTTTTCTTTTTTCATGGTTCATAAAATAAAGATGCACCAAAGAATTTAACAGACAATATATCAAGCACATTAGACTTGATATATTTCAAAGAATATTACAACAACAATAAAGGCAGCAAAAAACAACTGAATGTCCATCTACTTGCTCCCCAGAATGACTGTTAAAACTCAAGGGCACAACAGAAAACCAGAAGAACTCCAAGCAAAGTTTTTAAGAGGACTCACCAGAGTTGGGATCAGAGTTGCCATCTGCTTCAGTCCTCTTGTCCGGAGAGGCCTGGTCGTAGAACTCGTCCTGTGGCTGAACCAGAGGAAGAGGGTGTGAGATCAGGGTTCCACTACCCACCGGCTCGTGGTCTCCTAGACCACTGTCACTGCAGCTTTCCTGGGAGCCGTCAGGGAGATGAAAGGTAACCCGGCGCTGCGACTACAAAGAAGACCACAGGACACACCGTTAACATCCTTCCCAAAGGAAGTGGAGGCGGAACGCAAAGCAAAGCAACTTTAACACACAGTGCAATGTCGAGGCAGAATATAAAATACTTGGAACACAGCTGGAAACAAACATTTATTATTTGTCGTTTCCTATGACATATCCAACTTGCAAAATACGAGAAAGAATTTCAATCTTGTATAATTCAAGAACAAAAAACTTGTGGTATACCACTGAAAGTTGTAGAAAGAAAGGCAAAAACAAATATATATGTGCTAATGGTCAAAGCTGTAAAAAATTTTTAAATAAGCAGAAATACAAAAATGTTTGTTTCATAGATCTGAATAAATACATAGATAATGCAACACAACATTCCATTTCTTTTGAATGACCTAGTATTGTGTTTACTTGAGGCTTTTAAGGTAGCTTTTGCAGTGAAGTCATTATTGTCCACTGGCCCAGATATTGCTACCAGTCATTGGTTTTAGAATATCCCTGTTGAAAGGTGTTTGTAATCCTACTTTGGCATCTATTTACACAATGTCACCATCAGAAGTGACCTAAAATATGTATATGGGTACTTTAATAAATTTTAGTATTTTAGTAAAATAAAATTGTGCCTTTCAGCACAGATCACTGCTTAGTTTTCTTGGTAAATATTCTTTTAGCTGATATAATCTATGAGATAAGAGAACATTTGCAGGTGTGTATGGTGGAGATTTATGCCTTACAGAATTATGTGAGAGTAGTAAATTTGTGCTGTATGTCTGACTACACCTAATTTCTGTTTTACTTTGATAACCAAAAGACCTTTTAATATTGCATTGCATGTGACTACTTTTACTCAGATTCAATAAAATTATGAATATATAAATAATAAATATATAATATATGGAGATACAATTATTTTATCTTACCTAAGATTTGTGTTTTCAGGAGACAATTTATAAATTGTATCTGTTTCAAAGAAAACAAATGTAGAGACAAAATGTTATAGGTAGAAATACTGCTATTCTATAAATGTATTTCTTATAGACTGACAATAGAATATAGCCTATTTTCTGTGAGTCACTCGTTCAAATCTAGCTCAGAGTCATAATGGAGAAGAGTTAATACCACTTTATTGCTGTTCAATGACCTGTGTGAGATGATTTGATAGTTTAGTACATTTTAAATGAACTAATGTAGACATCATATAAACTGTAATCATAAATGGTCCTGAGTCTACTGTAGCACATTGCACCTTCAAGCACAACTATCTCACTACCATTGTTCCCTCCTCAATAGAGTTTGAACCGTGCCTAGGTAAGTGCTACATAATATGCAAGCAAACTTGAATATTAATATCTGAAATGCATTTCTACTTTTAAGGGAAGGTCATGCTACTGATTTTATTTATTACAGTGTTTCCTCTCCCAGGTGAATTTAACCCTTGAGGGAATAATAATACAAGTATTCTCTGTTTCTGTTTCAACATGCATGTAATTCATATTAAGTGTATGCTTTTGTAATAAAGGACAGTGACCAGGCTGCCTACAATACATAATTACCAAACATCTCTTTTAAAGTGATTGGTCTACTAAAAAGTCCATAGTTTTAGTGACTAAAGTATCTTTGGTGTTACCTCTGGAGGACTCTCTCTTAGTTATAGCTTAAGTGAATAAAAAGGAAGTCAAAACATAAGAGAGACAATGAAACAATCTGAATGATTCTGCAATCTTCATAAAGCATTTCTGGGAAATGCTTATAAGGCATTATAAAATATTTGTTTCATAGACAGAAGGAAAAAGGAAAATTAACATCTGTGATATTCTTCTAAACTGTTTTAATTACAATAGTTATTTTCCTAGGAAATGTCCAAATCTGCAACATCAGTTATATCTAAATCCAATCGTTCTCATAGTATCATTGGGCACCTACTGGTACGTAGCCTGGTGTTATATTTACTCTGAGAATAATAAGGAAAATATTTTTTAAACTATTTCAAATACAACTTATTAGATTCTATCTCACATATACTATACTATGCTATTTCTTTACCACTTTATAATTGAGGACAACAGATATAAATCTAGTGTAATTTATTTGCTGTAAGACCCTGTAAATTAGTGTAATATAATGTTTAAACTACTGTGGCTTACAGAAATACTTCCTAATAAATTTGACTCAGAGATGTTTAAGTCTTAATTGGCAAAATTGTGCACAATTTATCAGTCTAATGGGAGGTAGGGGTGGTGATGCATAAGGACTAAGAATGGCAACATAGATATTATAGTATGAAGCAAATTGATCAAGCAAATCAATCTTTAATTTATCATCATAATGACTGATGCAAGTGGAATAATGTTTGGAATATCAAGATAGAAGGAGAATATTTGAATAAATTAAAATGAAGGAAAATGAGAATCCATGGTACATTATGAAACAGGAGTTGTGGGTGTCATCAAGGAATACAGTACTTATTCAGGTTTTGCCCAAGAGCACCGGATAAGGAGTCAGAACCAGATATCCTGCCTGGAGGTGCTTGCTCGGTAGAGCCTGACCCTGGACAAGTACATTATGTCTTTGAAGGAGTTCTTGGCGTTGTAGAATGGAGAGAGCAGTGCCTTAAGCAGAGGAGTGTTGTAATGCTCAAACAGATAAAATAAGAAGTGTTCTTGTTATATAATACATGACACATAGTAGGCACTCAATAAAAGGTAGCTATAATTCTCAAAATTAATAGCTTTTAACCTCTGGGGTTATCAGTGTTTAGCAGTTATAAAGATGCAATTCCTTCACCCCAGAAAAAAGTATTGTTCTTTGGGAAGAGACCTGCAGAATCTTGACATGCCTCACAATGTGCCTGTAGGTGTGTCAGCCCAGAGCCTCTCTGAGGGGAAGCTGCTCTTGGGTGAAAGTGAGGTATGAAGACCAACAGTTTAGAACACAGGGTTTCTCCTCAGAGAAAGTGAAGGTTTTCCCACTATTCTTTCAAGAAACCTATGATCGTTTGTATATTCAAAGCGAGAGAGAACTTTTTACTTATAGTCTCTGGGAATTTTGCTTTTGGATTATCCCCATGGAAAGGAGCCCAGTTTGGGTTATAAATATAGTGAAACTCTGCCTGACTGAATTGGGACAACACATGTTATCATGAGACTACTTCAGACTTTCCAAAGCCTGGGCACTTACATTTTGTTTCCCTGTATCTATTTCTTACCCATTCCATTTTCTTCCATGGGAAACATTATTATTACATTTGGCTAAGTCTGGTTGATGGTTTGAATGTCACATTTGTTTATCTGATTTATCACTGACAGGTTAGCTCCAGGTCCCAGGCTGCCCCGAGGAAGAATAATATGGGAACAAGAACTACTAAGGCTGTTTCATGTTATTTTACTTTGGGACTGCTGATATGGATTCTGACCAAGCGAAGCTTCCATCAGAGACCCTGTACTCTATGCCAGCATAAAGTGCCATGCATGCAAATACAGGTATGTCCAGGATACTGTAAGTTGGAAGATGCCACACTGGTTAGGTCTGAGAAACATTACCAAGAACTTTTACAATATTTTTTCTTGTAGGTTAGTATGAAAGAGAGAGAAAATTCAAGATGCCCTGAGAAGATACACATGTTCTTATGTTAGACACTGTTTTCCAAGAGTCACTGAATGAGTCAGCTAAGAAATCTTATTCATTGCTTTAATTCTTCTCTTGTATGTGTCTTACTGGTACAGGATATTATTCACCAATGAATGATTCACGTTCAAGCCTACAATCCCAGTCCCATTAATCTAGATAGGTTCCCATGTGCAAAGGTTTAGTAGTAAGGTACATTGTGTCTTTGCATAAAATAGCAAAAATGTAAAAAAAGAGTGAAATGTCTAATAGGTAACTAATAAATTATGTAATAGCATACAATTGAATCATTCATAGTACTTAAAATAATGTTAATGTTTATTGATGTGGAAAATATTTATAATCTATTGTTAAGTGTAAAAATGAGGTTTGTAAAGATTTTACTGTGTTGAATTGCATTCCTGTTAATGTGCTTTAAGGTGTGAATATGTGTAAGCTAAGATCTGACTATGCATACACTAAGGGTTTAAAGCGGTGTTGTCTGGTCATGGAATTATGATATTTAAAATTTTTATTATTTTGACTACACTAAAATTTCCATACATTGTCTTTGCAATATTAGAACATATGCTAAGTTTTAATACTTAAAATTGTATTCCTCTTCATCACTTATAGCAAAATAGAACTTAGTCCAAGAGAAAGGAAAAACCCGATAGACAGTAGTTGGGCTTGCTCTTGAGCGAAGGAATGTCAGACAATCTTCTATCACTGTGTTGCTACCCTAACTTTCATTTTTTACTTTCTTTACCTAGCTTTTTAATCATTGCAATTAAAGATCCTTGCCTTGGGGCTTCCCTGGTGGCGCAGTGGTTGAGAGTCCGCCTGCCGATGCAGGCGACGCCGGTTCGTGCCCCGGTCTGGGAAGATCCCACATGCCGCGGAGTGCCTGGGCCCGTGAGCCATGGCCGCTGAGCCTGCGCGTCCGGAGCCTGTGCTCCGCAACGGGAGAGACCACAACACTGAGAGGCCCGCATACCGGACCAAAAAAAAAAAAAAAGATCCTTGCCTTTCCTCAAATCACAAGATAACATGAATATAGGACTAGACCAATTATTATAAGTCAAATAAACAAATTTACCAGTTAATGACTGGCATTTAAATGATTATTTTTTGGAAAATTATAAATTGATATTATGGAAGTAGAAACAAAGTGCTACAGAATTGTTTAAATATGGTTTCACTTGTAGAAAATTCTTTAAATACCTTTTTAAGGAAATATTTTTATTTAGTTCCTTTAATCACAGTTAAAAAATAATATATCATCTATATATCTATCTAATCTCTAAATAGTAAACACACACACACACACAAACACATCAGCCAGCAATTACTTATGATGAAGTAAAAGACAAAAAGTGTTAAAGTTCCATATA